GTGGAATATACCGAGCGGATAGAAATCTGAACTACAGCTATTCGCTAGAACTATACACATCCGTATTTCAGGCGGAAGTGTATGCTATCTTGCAGTGTGCAAGGCTTATTAAATTGAGACCTGGGAATGCCATGAAGAACTGAATGAACTTTGTACTGGGTGCCAGGGCATTTAGGAATCACAGGTAATGATAAAGCTGATGAATGCGTTAGACGCGGATCATCAACTTCATATATAGGTCCTGAACCAGCTCTGGGGGTACCAAAATCATTGATACGAAACCAGTTTGGGATATGGACCAACAAGAAGCACACAGAGTACTGTACAAAAGTACCTGGTAACAAACACAGTAGAACCTTCTTTGGGGAATCGTCCGAGAAAAGAACCAAAGAACTACTTCAATATAGTAGGGATCGGCTCAGAATAATTACAGGATTACTAACCGGTCATTGCCCGCTAAGAGAACACCTGAATAAAATGGGGCTGTACAATGGAGACCTCAGCTGCAGATTATGCAACAAAGGGATAGAAACAGCTCTACACATCTTATGCGAATGTGAGGCACTGAATCACAGGAGGCAGGCAATATATGGACGTATGAAATTACGTCCAGACGAGACTAATGGAATGGGTGTCATGAGAAGATGGAAGAACAAACGCAATAAGCCCAAGAGGCTGCAGTGTTTCCTGGAGACAAGGTACAAAAAAAAAACTCTGTGACTACAATGAAGTCTGTCCACAACTCAATTTCCTATAATTTGAAATTTTTCAGGATTGATATCGTTGCAAGCTCGTCTTTTATATTGACAAGTTCTGGAATGAGTTGCAATTGTATATTGTATATTTCAGATGTCATGTATCCATTCAGAAACATCTTGATGCTTCATATCAGGTGATGACGTGGGTTCTTTCTTCCAATGGATCACGTATGCCTGTATACTGGTTTGAGTATTTGACAAACTCAAATGAGTTTTCTTTCGCTAGATGAGATACCTCTTGGGCACGACAGGTTTATTCAAAAGTAGCTAGTTGACAATGATCAAAACCAGGGGCCTGATTTGACGCCCTCAAATTTTCTTGTGGGGATTTGTAAAATTTGAAGTATACATTACACAGTCGTAGTATATGCCAAAGCTCATGATTGGAAGAGGCGCTACTAACGAAAAACGATAATGTGAAAAATGACTTTGTAAACAAACCTCATCATTGTCGGGAAATGAAGAGTGGACATTCTGAACATTCATTGGAATGAACTGGAGTGATTTTCGAATAACTATTCATCTTTCTCGTGTATTGCTACTCATTCGCAAAAAATCATATGATAACTTTATTATTATTATTACTAGGAATGGAGTCAGATAATCTGAAAAATTAAAATTTTTCAATATTTTTCATATTCAAAAACTGTGTTAATGATAATAAAGCAGATATAAATGGAATTTCCAAATCATTTGTAAGACAGGTTATATAAACAATTTTGTATATTTCGTTTTCACTTTCAGATTCATTTCTATTACAGTTTTATTGTGAGATGAAACTAAATACGAAATAATACTTACCTGAAAGTATATATCCCATTTTGTCTCCACTTCATTCCTATTGATATTGAGAAAAGACGGTTTGAAGATACCAATAGATCAAGAACGAAAGACATTCCTTGACTATTAATTCACAGATATTTGAATTGATGGCATGTGGTATGTAAAAGTTACCACATTTTATTCTTTACCATCTATTTTCATATGTATTTTGTTGAAAACCTTCAGTTTCAACAATACTATAATAACATTTGAAAACACGTTTCGTCTAGTTTTCAAAAAAATCTGGTGTCGAATTCGATAACTTGTTGATTCATCCAAAGATTTTTTCATATTCCATCCAAAACATAATATGAATGAATAAATAATCATGTTATGAAAATTGTTCAATCTCTAATAGTCAGATTTTTAAGGGAAACTTGCTTATGATCCCTGAATGAAGTCCATGAAGTTATGGAGATCATTGCTATGTATCACAAATGAGAGTGGTTTCGAGAGAGGTCCCTGAAGAACACCATAGTCTATTGCAGACAATTCTAAACATCCATTGTTATAAGAAACTCTCTGAGAACGAGTTTGAAAGTATGATTCAATCAATTTGGAAGCAATGCCCTTTATACTATATGAAACCAATTTTTGAAATGACTTTTGGTTGGGAACAGAAAGTCCTTTTGCACTACCCCTTCGTGTTCAATTCAAGCACGTGTTCTACCACATTCATAACAGTATTTGACAATGGTGAAATATTTTCGAAAACCGTACTGATATCTTAGAAGAACTGGTTTTTATGAAAACCAGATTTTGTTTTTAAGTTTTCACAACTTCTTTTCAGAAACCCCCAATATATATTGTGCATCATTTTGCTTAGGATTTCATTAGAATATTTTATAGAGCTTCAGTTGTTGTGTCCACTCCATAGTATAGTATGATTTTGGGATACACTTCACTCCACCTAGCATCCTTTTGTCGATTTTTTTAATTGAAAGTCAATTTTCACAGTAATCGATAAGTAATGCAGCTCAAATAAGCTTCAGTGATATCAGTAATATAGCTGCAAAAGTTCTCAGCCATTTCTTATGAAAAACACGTGCGAATTTGAGCAGGTCCATTCTGGCGATTTTGCGACCTCTGACCTTCATAGCCTACTTCAAGGTTATGCGTCATTGGTAAGTACTTCAGAGAGACACGTTAGTGAGTGGGAGAGAGACACATGTGACGTAGTCGTCCCCACTCTTCCACTTTTGCCGTCATCCAGTCGACCAGTCAGAAGCTACCGCGCGTACAGCGGGAAATTCAAATTAGTAGATGAACAATGTCTTTATGAGCCCACTTCAAGATTGCGCCTCGTTGGTAAGTGTTTCGGAGAGACGATTGTTTCAATATCCGTGATGTACAATTGTGATGTGCAATATATTGTTATTTTTAGTTCAAATACTTCAAATCCAATATTTTGGGTGGGTTCCGGGTTGTGCTGTGGTATTTTCTGGTTATAATCTCCAAACGTTTCGACTGAAATTGCGCTAGTCATCTCCAATGGCGTAGTCGAAGTACTCTTCTTGACGTGTCAACTAAAACTGAAGCTCTCATTTCTGCTGTGACATTTTTAGGGCTGATTTTTCGCAAACTTTCTGTAATGGCGGGATCACGCGGGTTGACTTGGCTTCGTGTTGGTGCTTTTCAATGCTGTGTGCCAGATCTTTGGTGTATATGTTCTCTCTTTCTTTCTGTTGAAGTTCTCTTGGTCTTTGTGTATTTCTATGGCTTCTTGTTGAATAATTATTCGACGTTGCTAGCTTCTTGGTATTTTCCAACAGGATCTTGTGTTTTCCGTCAGACACTGTATGTTTCCGTCTCACCAATATAGACTTCACTACAGTCACATGGAATTCTGTAAACTCCCGCTGATTTGAGTAGATCTCTGCCGCCTTTTGCTGATCTCAGATACTCCGATATTTTCTCCGTTGGTCTGATGACGGTATTAATTTTCTCCTCCTTTCGAATTTTCCCGATTCGGTTATTGACACCTCTTATGTATGCCAGGTAGACAGTGCTTTAGGGTTGATCTTCACTGGTGTTCCTCTTCTTCTACCTTGAACGTGGATTATGTCGTTTCTGTCGAAGCAGTTCGCTTGTAACACAGTTGTAAGGTTATTTCGTCGTCGACGTACCTTTCTTTACATATTCTCAAAGCTTTGTTCACTAGGGTGTTGATGACGGTTCGTTTCTGTTTTGGATGATAGTCTGATTCATTATGTAGGTATAGATATGTGTGTTTTCTTCCTGTACACCTCATGTCCTAGTTGATTACCTTCGCGCATCCAAGGCTATGATTGGCCCAGAAGCCTTCTGCGAGGTAACGAAAGCATGTATAAAGACATTCACAAGCCGAATCGATAGATTGGTGGAAGAAGCTCCCAGGAATGAGGCAGGTGAAAGAGTTCATAAAGAAACCATCGCCCAGAGCCACGGAAGACCTGCTAAACCACAACCGTAAGGTTGTAAGGGTTGTGGTGGTTCTACTAACGGGGCATAGCCGACTCAGTAAAACATATGAGCAACATGGGTCTGACAGAAGAAACCCAATGCAGGTTCTGTCAAGAAGAGAAAGAAACCGCACTGCATGTGCTCTGTGGATGCGAAGCGATAGCAAGGCTGAGACACGCAAGATGTGGGGAAGATAAACCAGAGGCTTCCAGCTTTATGAAGGAGTCAGTTTCAAGGCTATGGAGTCTCATCAAAGAGATCAAGCTAGACAATGGGCTCTAACAACCAAGAAGCATCACAATAGATCTGAGAAGGTCGCAGTGAACCAGGCCATGAGCCAGCTCTCCGGCAATCTGTTCTAATCTAATCTAATTACCTTCCTTGATGACTAAAACTTCAAGGAATGAAATTTGGAGGTTTTCTTTTGATTCCATAGTGAACTGGATTTTTTTATGGAAGCTCTTGGAAAGTTTTTGAGTTTGTGTTTTTCATGGTTCCACAGAACGAAGGTGTGGGAACTTTTGAAGATTGTAACCAAAGAAGACCACGGTTAAACCCGGAAACCAACCAAAATATTGATGGCAACCGTGAAAGCCTACATTTCTATATTCGAAATTCAATTCAAAAATGTATATATACTCACTTACTGGACCAATCCTTCAGATGAACTTGACATAACACAATTTTATTTACTTGTGATGCACTGTTTGGAACCTTTGGTGTAGTAATGAATATCACTGGAGTTTTTTCCAACACCAAACCGTTATTTTAACACCTCGACATGTGTTTCGACAACCAAGTGATCATCTTCAAGGAAAAGATTAATAGTCTTCTTGAAGATGATCACTTGGTGATCGAAACACGTGCCGAGGTATTAAAATAACGGGTTAGTTGTGATAAAACTCCAGTAATATTACAATTTTATTTTCCATGTTAATATGAACATTAAAAAACATATTCAAATAATGATGATGTGAAATCAGTACTCACAGGAAATTCTTTCTTTTTTGATCTTTAGTATAGTTTGGAGAGAATAGTTGAAAGTGATATAAATCTAAACCTAAACAGGCCATGATCCACATGGCTGTAACGAATTCAGTTCAATGAAATATCAACACTTACTTATTTCTAATACAGTATATAAATATATCTATGAATATTTCCATTAATAGTAACAGTCAGTACAAACAGTTGAAGTTGAAATCATACAAAAGCTTCAAGTAAAATTTTTAGACACTGCATTTTGATAATCCTTATTCTAACATTCAGATAAACTGGAAATCGAACGAAAACTAACGTAAACTTTGTGATACACTTCATATTAGAATGGGAAACAACAACATCTGGTCACCATTGAGCAATGGAAACAGAATGATACGTGATTACAGCGGGTAGAAAAGTTGACTTAAAAACATTATGAAAGTTTTTTGAAACTGTTTTGTGGGTCTATAATCTTTCACAATTCGAAAAAATAAAAGATGAATCAATAAAGAATCTGCTGGAGTGTAGTAAAGGCCAAACTAAGAAGTTCACCCCAAAAAGTTACTGCGTAATATAAACTACTGGAAAGTTCAATTTATCAGTAACATGTCATATCCATGAATTTTGCCTACAAATTGAAAAAAATCAATTGGAAAAACAAATATTGATACGCATTTCCGGAGTGGAAAGAACTCTCAATGAACTTGGTGAAAGCAATATACAATATACAAGGTATACAGATCTCAAAATCACCACAAATCCAACAGCAATACAGATACCCCACAACTAACATCATATCTTATGTTCCCGGTTTGTTTGAGAAACTGAAACGCATCGGTTATAAGTATAATGTGAGAACAACTTTTAGAACCATCAACACACTGAGATCTATTTTGACACAAACTAAACCCAGAAATACGGTTGAAAGAACGAAACGTTGTATTAACAATATAATTTGTTCCTGTGGAAAGAGTTACATAGGTGAAACATCAAGACCCCATCAAGATCCATTAACCCCAATCCTGCCATCTGTCTTCTCCTTATATACTCACATCACATCTAACAATTCCGTTGGTACCTATCAACAACATTTCGATTACTACAAACGGCTGAAGACATTCAATTTGAATAGTATGTCTCGTAAGTGATCCTGGGGTTTTTGAAAGAGTTCTGGAGTCAATGAGAAGAAGATTGGATTTTTGCATCCGAGCTGGGGCTAGTCATTTTCAACAGTTCTTGTAGATTAAGAAACTTTACATATAATTTTTGGTAATAAATTGTTATTGTCGAAATTTTTCTTGGCTCCGTATCTTCTAAATAAAGCGCCCGATAAAAAATCATCTAAGGACAAAATATCCTTATAATAGTCCAAGGAATAGTTCCTCTGATTTTTACCGCATGTTCAATAAACATCCTGTATATTCAAGCGATGATATTTCATTTTTCTGAATGAATATGAGAAAAAACAAAATGATTGTTGTTGCAGACCTGAGAACTAGCAACTGTGGAAAGTTGGTATTTGGACTGGTGGACTGGTAAATGCCAATTAGAGGAAATTTGTAGCATTACAACTGATTTTTCAATAATTCCTGAGTAAGAGTTGAGTGAGAAGGTGAATTAGTTCCACAGAAGGTTCTCTTACATGTTTGGCAAGATGTTCTACAATATTTTCATTCCATTATATACTGCCTAAACAGAAGATTCCCGGCCAACTTCTGATTTGGAATTTTTGGGATAATATCTATTCGTCGTAGGGGGTTCGCGAGGAGTAAGAATATTGGTTCAAATATCATTCCAGTTATGAAGTAGAATGATTTGCTTTCTCAAAATTGTCAGCATACAAAAAAAAACAAGAGTTATAGCTGATATACTTGTCATATTGAATTTTACATGGGAAAAATTCCCTCAGGTAAAATAGTCTTGAACCATTTTCATGAGAAAGCTCATTGTTTCGGAGAAAAGCGTCTGCAAGTTAATAATAGTTTTTGCTATGATTCAGTTGATCCTTTCCGACTCCATTCTTTCGACCTCATCTGTGATACCATTCTCTCATATCAAAGTTTTTTGTAGTGAACTTTCCTACACGTTAATCAAGAATACTGAAAATTTCATCACATATCATTCATCTTCTATATTATTTATCCTAAAATCTAAAACTATTTGCCCACAATATTTCATTTTAAAGCTTCTCGAAATATTATCAAGTTCATCAACAATTCCAAAGCGTTGAGTTCCCATTGCAATAAAAAAACGAAGCGTTCAAGAATAAATAGTTTCGTCTATGGTATAAAATTATTATCATCATATACACAACTTCTATTGATATGCATGTGTTTGCATACGGTATACTCTATTTCTCCTCGAAGCCTTGTGAGACCTCTGAAAAAATACAAATTCTTCCTGTAACTCTGAAAATCAATACTGAGTGGGGTGGTTCTCTAATTTCTTGATTTGACCAGTTTATTTCTTCACCTGAAAAAAAAATGGAGCTTTATATAACTATACTGAATTACAGCCTCTTTTCAATATATTTTAGTGATATAGCAATATTTTGGCACGAATACATCCTATAAATTGCCTATACAGTGTGAGTCATTTAAAAAATTCGAATAATAACAAAATCGGGGGATACAGTTGAGTATTGTAGCTACATATCATGGGCAACAGGATGGGCAACAATTGGTTGCCAAAAAAGCACAAATGAATGAAGCTATCTGCAGAAGCTATAGCTACCTGTGTGACATTCGAGTTCAGGAAATCATACAAATATCTCTTCGATTCGTATAAAAATTCTCGATATTATTCATATCTGTACGGTTTTCTGGACCCGTACCAATGTATTGCAAGTAGCTGTAGCTGCCTTCGTGGTAACTTCAGTAATATTCTTGAAGACACAAAATCTATTGAACGGAACCAACAATGTGCGGCGGGTTTTTGCTGATAGCTCCGTGCATTCGTACTTGTTTCGGCAAACAGATGTTGCCCATTCTTGCACTTTGCATTCTTGCACTTGGCACTGATAATGGGCCAAAAGATGGAAACCCAGCCTTATCCCCCGCCAAACATCATCGCGAAACAGGCCATACAGTAAGCTTCGAAAACACTAAAACAATTGCCATCGAAAAAACTCTCCTGGCCAGGACAACTCGCGGAGCTAATAAACACGACATTGCACACTTCGCTCCTGGAAGTCACAGCATCGTCCCCACTACCAAGTCCACCATCGCATCGGGAAATTAGGGGTTTCCAGGTAGTTGGAAGTTCAGGCAGAAAGGTCGCTTTTCGATTTCGATGGCCTCGCGAACCATTCGAGATTGAAGTGTTTTTGCTGTGGCGATGGTGTTAGTGTTCGCATAGTCTATGTTGTGTCCTGTTTCTTGATGATGTTTGGACAGGGCTGAGGATGGGTCTGACTTTCGAATAGCAAGTTGATGTTCGTATACTCTACTTGTCACATGTCTGTTCAATTTGCTGTCCGAAAGTCAGACCCATCTTCAACTCAGTCCAAATATCATCAAGAGACAGGACACTATGACCATCGTCACAGCGAAAACGCTACAAGCTCGGTTAATTCGAGTGGCCATCGATATCGAAAAACGAGCTTTCTGCCTGAACAAACGTGATGACTGAAAATCCCTAATTTCCCGATGGTTACCTCCCAACTCCCACATTTTCAGTTCAATAGCTTCAGTAGGCAGATTGAGGCCCCGGCGTCAAATCACATCAAATTCTTGAAAATGCCTCCAAAATGGGAGCCGAAACGTCGAATACATGGTACTTCGTACACTCCTTTGGACTCCAATGGTATTCGATCCTTCGGATTATGGAGCGTGGACCTTATTGAATGATGTTGCTATGTTGTCTTCGCGGAGAATTCTGCTGATTTTTCTGTGGTTCCTTTGATTTATGATAGTATGGTTGTTACCACTGGTGTTTCTCTGGTTTCTTTGGAAAACTATAGAAACGGCTTCCATGATCATTTTCTATGGAAATGAGAATCCAATGTATTCATTTTCTTTCTGAGATATCAATTCGAATTAAATTACTTTTCTCCCACTTTTTCCTCATGGAATACAGTCAAAGCAAAATAAGTAAAAGTACTGATATTACCAGACATCAAATAAATGAGAGCCTTCAGAACTCGAGAAAGCTTTCCAAACGAATTACCATTTTAACGATATAAATGAGAAAACAGTGATGCGTCAGTCGGGAACATACATCAACTTCTGAATAATTAACTTCATAGAGTTCATTATTTATCTTTGATCAGGCAAACTGAAAACTGAAACAGTCGTGACATGGTGTGTTCGAAAACAACTAGATCCAAAAGTCTTTGATTGGAATAACAAATTGTCGATGTCTTTATAGCAATTTCTCTGGAATAATATGCAACAATTGATGTTAGTATACTGAAAATACTGTTTTCATGTCAGAATTCTAGAAATGTATCTTGAACCATGTTCACTGGGTTAGAATCATCAAGAGAGTATTAAAACTTAATCCTACAACTGACTAAACAGAATCTGTATGTTGCCTCTAGATGTTTTTGAAAAAAGACGTCACACCAAAATCGTACGCATCAATTTCAGAATTCGAATAGGGTGAATCATGTGAAAAATAAATATGCGAACAGGCTTAGAGTCAGGAAGTGAATGATGAACATGTTGTACATTCACTAGAAAAAATTAAAATGAGTTTTGAATAGATCTTTCCAAGAAAATGAGATATTTTCTGTTTGTTTGCTGGTTCCCAAAACTAATATTAAACTGCTAATTTTTCACAAATGGCTGAATCCATTTCCAAAAATTTATCAGTGTTGAAGACAGAATTGACGGGTACGGTTAGAAGTGGCCTCTTGGCGACGAGTGATGCAATACTATCGTCTTTTCGATCAAACAGTACTGAAAATGGTGTCTTTTTACCTACATTTTGTCCAACCTCGATATTTTGTGACGTTTAAAAATTTAGAGGATGAGAAACTATTTACGATCGCACTGTATAATGTCATAGCTTAGCCTTGGAAAAGACCACCATTGTTTTTGTAAAGAACAGCCAAATTGCAATGTTGCATTCATGGAACAGCCGAGTACCACTTGACTGTGTCAAACGTCTCTTTTCATGGATAGTTCAACTGATATCAAATATTGATATACTGTCGTTTATTCTGTTTCCACATCTTCAGTAGTAAGATGTTCATAAACGTTCAATTTTTTCGCCAAGGAACCAGAGTGTCATTAGTGAACTATTTTTGCCACCTCAAGACTATTTGAATCATGTGAGTACAGAGATTAAATTGAATAGGATGATCTCTCGTATGCTATTTGGCTTAATGTAGGAATTTCATGGTCAGCAGATTGCCTTGTCGTAGGCTCGTAGGCTCTAGTGATCTGAACTGGAAGGAGGCACTGATTTGATCCAGCATGATCACCATCTTTAGGTTATCAGAGATGGGCGAGAGTGGTTTATTTCAAAACTGAGAACTGGGATTATGCTGTTTAATTTTCCAACAACAATGAGATTGAACTAGAGCATACGTGCTGTTGTTCTTGATATTTCTAAGGCCTTTAACCGTGTCTCGCACGAGAGTTTGCTAGCCAAACTTCGATGATATGGTTTGTCGGATCATTTCTGTGTATGGCTCTCCAGCTTCCTTAAAGAACGTTCTCTGTAAGTGGTCGTCGATGGATATCTGTCGAATACTTTCACCATCAACGCTGGTGTTCAACAGGGATCCATGTTGTCTCCAACGCTCTTTTGATTGTATATCAACGACTTATTGGAAAAAACTAAGAATCCAATCTATTGCTTCGCTGACGACAGCATACTTGTCTCGTCATTCCATTTGGATTCCAGGACATTGGCTGAGGAGGCTCAGCCAATGTCCTGGCAGCAGGAGGTTGCATATCTTAATGAGGATCTAGAATTGATTTCGAATTGGGGTGAAAGCAACCAGTTTTGATTCAATGCCACATCGGCCAGGCATCGGTTTTCTTCAAGAAGATAATTGTCTCCGAACCGAATATATCAATGTCAGGTTTGACAATTCCGCTTTCTGTTTCGATAAGTTTGTTGGGGGATAAAATGGACACCAAAATGTCTTGACACAACGACGTCGCTTGAATTGCAAAGGCTGCTTCTTGAATTGAATTGCAAAGCTTGAAAGACTCTTTCGAACCAGAAAACAATACACACCTCAGCGACTTTGATGCTTTATAAAGCTCAGATCAGATCTTCTTTGGAGTATTGTTCTCTGCCCCCAAACATGCTCTGAAGTTGCTGGATTCCATTCAGAAAAGAGTCATTCGCCTGATTGGAGACGCGAACATTATGTGCAACCTTGATAGCCTGTAACATCGAAGAGAGGTTGGAGATTTGTCTCTCTTCTATAGATACTTTCACAGAATGTATTCAAGTGACATGGCACATTTGATTCCACCAAGAACGGAACATTTCAGAAATACGCGGCGGACTGTGGCTACTCATTGTTTCGAGGTTTAACTCAGTACACCTCAGACTTCACTATTTAAGAACTATTTCATCTGGAAACCTGCTTTTATGTGGAATACATTTCCTGAGAACGTTTTTCCAAATAAATTTAATCTCCAGCGATTCAAATCCAATGTGACTCGCTACTTTCGCACAGGCACCGCTCTGAGAGCGCCTCAAGCATTTTCCTGTAGTGCTTGTGTTTTGTCCTCAAATCACTTTTCAATCTAAATAAACCCGCAGCGAAACTAGGATCGATTATATGAGCAAACTTTTTTTTCGTCCTTGAAGAGGACTTTTGTCTGTGTCCGAATGATCTATGTCATACTACCGGCATAATTATGTTAATTTCTACTGGACACTGTGAAAACCCTATTACCTGCTATTCAAGCAACTCAAACTGATGGTTCCATCTTTCAGTGGTGGTACATTCGAAGGTATCGATTCCATTAAAGGGTACCACTGTGCTACAGGCCTCCTCGGATTGTCCAGCATTTCTGTCCAATGATCTCTTCCCTTTCCTATGAAGTTTGGCCCAATCACTATGCAGCCCATCAACTCGTTCAATCCAATTCTAAAAAACAAATGAATGTATAGGTATAATTTTTTTTTGAGAACTTCTATGAATAAATCAATAAGCAATATTCGTTTTGTAGCAGAAAAACATTTTTTTCATTCACATATTCGTGTAGAGCAGGCTGATTGTAAAATTCAAAATTTAAAATCCCCTGTTGCGAAATTATTTCTTGATATTACTATCTTGAACTCAATTTCAGCTTGGTTTCTATAATTCTGCTGCAGAATCATACATTTTTGGATAGACTAATGAAAATTAAAAATTAAAATTAAAAGATTTCAAACCAAGTTATATCACGACGTTTCGATTGTTAGTATCCACAATCGTCTTCGGATGATAACTGGACTTATTTCTCCGAGATCCGACTATTTATAGGCCATTCGAGTGCTTTCACCTATCACCTCTTCTCTCTCTCTGCTTCATTGGTTTTTAGCGGAAGATGAGCGTTTGGCGGGAGTTGGTCGTTTTCCGTTTGATTAGAGGTTTCCATATGTTACGTATCTCTACGCTAACTTGACTAAATACGTTGTTGGACAACATATACGCGGCTTCTTTGAATTTTTTCCTAAACCAGTGTTCCTCTTTGTGGATGATTTCACCTTGAGCCCACTTGATATTATGTTGATGACCCCAAACATGTTCTGCTATTCCGGATTTGCCGGTTTCTCCTGTGTGTGTTTCTTGTGCTCAGCAATGCGAACTTTCAATGGGCTCTTAGTTTCACCGATGTATGATTCTCCGCACTCGCAGGGTATCCAGTAAATGCAATTCTTGGAATCGCAGTCCGCGTTTGGTGGCCTGGTTTTCGTGAGGCTGCTACGGATAGTGTTCTCAGATCTGAAGCAGGACCTGATGTTATACTTAGATCCAATCCTTCGTATCCTTTCTGATAATTCTCTGATGTAGGGAAGTACGAGTACTGGTTCCTTGAGGAGCTCTTGCTGTCTTCTAGCTTAATTCAGAGAAGCCGTGTATATGCTGTCCAATAACGCATTCATTTAAGCTAGTGTAGAGATACGTAATATATGGAAACCTCTAATCAAACGAAAAACGACCAAATCCCGCCAAACTCCCGTTAGATACCAATGAAGCGGAGAGAGAAGAGGGGATAGGGGAAACACTCGAATGGCCTATGAATAGTCGGATCTCGGAGGAATAAGTCCTGTTATCACCCGAAGACGATTGTGGATACTAACAATCGACACAACTGTTAATAACACAACAATAACAATTGTTAATAATAATTTTTAATTTTCAGCTTTTATTAATATTTCAATTTTTATTTTTTGGTTGTTGTTTGGTTTCATGTTATTTCATTGTAATTTCAGTGTTTTTGTTCGAATAAAATTGTTATTTTCGGTCAATCATTTTTAATATTTTTTCAGGAATTTCAAATCAATTTATATTATATTAGACAATGGAAGTCCGAACTGATGAAATACACCACGAAACATTGTCAACCACCTTCAAACAAAGACTCCACTATCGTTGTACGTTGTACTTGGAATATTATTTTGTTTGAAGAATTGAGGAACGATTTGATTGGTGGTGACTGGTAGAATTGATATATTAGATATATTCCAACTCAAATTTGACAAGAGAATGACAATGTTTTTCGGTGAAAAAAATGTCCAGTAAATTCTGGGTTACAACTTCTGGTCGTTGATTCTAGGAATGACCTACATTAACGATTTCAATAGTTTTGAAATCGATTTTGTGACAGTACTGCGAATAGAAATGAAATATTGAGGTTTTGAGTAAATGAATTTATTACAGGCTTTGAGTTGAAAACTCGCGGTAACAAACTTTTGATAATCTCAATTTAGATACTGAAAAAATATGTCTTTCTTCCTCAAGTGGCCATTAGGGTTCACTAAACTAGTATAACTAAAAGCTCGAGGTTAAGGTCATCCTGGCGTGTTCATTAAGGTAAATATTTGCCGACCTCTCTGTCTTGTTTTCACTGTGAACATGATATATGATCTCGTGTAACCTGCAGACAAAATGTCCATCATCACACAGTACGCCATTATATTATTTCCGCTTCCTCGAGCGATGGGTGTGCAAGTTTGCAGAAAATATCGTAACGGGCTACAAATAGCATTTTATGAACTGAAATTCTCAAGGATGAATTTTGGTAGAGAGCATGATGGAAAAGATAACTTTTATGCTACTCTTATCACTGATAATATGTCAAATTTGAGAATACGTAATATAACTTTCTTGTACTGTAACTTTCCTGTACTGTAAGTTGAAATGGCTCAACCTCGTGAACAGAAAATTAAAAATCATTCTCCAGAAATTTAGGAATTTGAAGAAAATATTGAATCTACTTCGATTGCTGATTTCGCTTCATGCAATAGCTGGAAGTCAGTGTGTCCTGATTTAAAAAACCTTTACTAACAGATATTCATGAATAGTATACAAAATCGACTTATGATACTCCTTTGTCAAATAAGTACAAGTAATACACTCACGCTAGGTTACGTTAGGTCTGGAGTGAGTGGGTCTATTCGACTCTCCACCGCGACCCGCAAGGGATTATTGTGACCTATTCACACCCAACAAAATTAACCCAGCTTCTCAACGAAGCCGATTAGTTTGTATGATGAGTGGTCTTTCGGGTCAGATGGTAAAAGTATCGCTCTGTTGAACTCTAAAAACCTGATTCGGTCCCCAGCGGGGCAGGCACAAAGTATGTGCTCTGATGTTTCATCATTTTCCAAACAGAAGCGACAAACACTGTCTTCTGGCAGCTGCTTGCAGAACACTATTTTGCAAGGGAGTAAGCAGCCTTATTATCTTTCAGGTCAGTATGGCCAGGAATCCAGACCAGAGACAATATGTTGAGTTTTCCTAGCGAAGTATTCGCTTATGATGCACTGTTTGGAACCTTTGGTGTAGTAATGAATATTACTGGAGTTTTTTCCCAACATCAAATCGTTATTTTTAACACCCCGACACGTGATCGAAACACGTGTATTAAAAATAACGATTTGCTGTTGGGAAAAAAATCCAGTAAAATTCTCAGTATTCGCAGTGAATTCTAATTTATATCATCTATCGACTGAGAACGAGTGCTTTGACTTGGTAATTTGACTTTTGGAAAAACTGCTTGGAGCTGTATCAGTTTAATATTGTGGCTGTTCGATAATTTTGTTGAGTGTTTAGCTAGGAATTTGTGAGACGGTGCGTTATTGTTCGATTCATTCTCAAACTTTCTTGACAGATGTCATGTATTTCAATGTACACGTACGAAGTGTGAATTAATTTACTGAACCAATGGTAATCCACCAAGACGAAAAAGCTACTTTCTCCAGAAGTACCATAGACTATGCGATCAGAACCTACGAGTCTGACATATACCAACACTTCACGAGAAATGCGGACAAGGTAAGAACATGCCGTTATCGTTTGACCAGATCAAAAATGAATTATATTACAATCTCTGCCAAATAATAAAAGAGCTTAGTATCACCAAATTCAAAAGAGCCATCAAGGAAATGCTACTCAGCCAATGTTTTTACTCAGTATCAGAATACTACGATTATTTAAGGACAGTTCACGTCAGCCATGTTTACTCGAGATGAAACATACTCACGGGTATCGATTGTACTGTGGTAGTTTGAATATACCCCTATTATCATAAGTGAATATTTATTTGATTATATATGTACGTAGGTAGGTGTTGCTTAATATTTTTATATTTTTACAATTTACTTACTTGTTTCATATGTTTATTTAAGAAAGCCTATACACTTGACTTGCTACAAACATGAAAATGTAACGTAGTTAATAAACTATTCTATTCTATTCTATTAGTTATTCAGTAGAAGTCGTAGACGAAGGCTTTGGTTTACAAAGTGGTTTATAACTTTGACAGTGATAATTACAAATACCTAAATTTGTTGATTCTATAAGCCTTGAACTTGAATTGTTTCACGATGAAACTGAAAATCTGATTGGCACTCGTGACTGAATCGTGCAGGTATCAGGTACCCCTTTTATACCGGGACTCGTTAGATCATGATACATTTTTGTAGTAATCACTGATTTTTCCAAAAACAACATATACGCCATAATCCTTTTTATAATATTCCTTCAGATGAATTATACTAACTAATATATGTCTTTGATTGCTCGGGATACAACGACAATTAATATTTTGTATTACCTGTCATAATCAATGACCTTGAGTACGAGAGAGACATCATTGATGTTTTCTTCTGGTACATCGAATACCAGTGCCTCATTATACACAGGACACAGGGTGTTGTACTTCACGCTTGTCTTCTTTTTTCTTATTCGTTTTCCTTGACAGAGAAGGTATATTTTCACGTAGGGGTCTGGAAAGCAAGGACATTATAGTATAATCACAATCAACAGTACACAGTATATACAACATCTGAAAAATCTATTTCATCATTCTGAAAACCGTCGTAATATATGGTCATAATATGAAGATGGGTAAGTCAAAAAAATTCTTGCTCCCTGAGAGCTACCTTGGCCTGCGCTATCTATACCGTTGGAGTTACATGCAGAAAATGTACCGTAAGATTGTTTATCTTGAATAGTTCTAAATGAAAGTCCAGGATAGCATATATCTACTTCTTTATTTGGTAGCCACTATATGCAAAATACTGAGCAATAATAATATAGCTGCAAGAGTTCTGGCTCATTGCTTATAGGAAAAACATGTGTGAATTTGAGCAGGTCCATTCACACATCGATTATGTCACACGTTTTTATTCCCCCCCCCCCACTCGTTTGACGTAAAAATTGCAAAAAGTTTAGCTCCATAAAAAATGCATGAGATGTTGCGCTCGTACCGGCCTTGCTCATCTACTGGATTTGAATTTCCCGCTGTACGCGCGGTATCTTCTGATTGGTCGACTGTATGACGGTAAACGTGGAGGAGGGAGGTCTGAAGTGGGCTTTGAAGGCTAAGCCTCAGTTCACACAAATTCTTTTGAAAATCGATACAATTGTCGTTTTAAGTATTCAATATAGATATACGTTGTCTTTTACAATAAGTAATTCGGACGAATCGTTTAAAAGTTATCACGATAAGATTATCTTGACGCAACACAGTGAGCCATTACGCGTCGCGTCTACTGTAAGGCGACGGGGGACGATGCGCGAGGGTTGAGAGGCGGTCTAAGCAATGAAGCGCTATCGCTGAGAAAGCGACCCGAAATCGGGCAGACGCGTGAGGGCAGACGTCGTTGACGGTTGTGTTAGTTTCGTATTTCTAGGTAACATAATTGGATTCTCGAAGCTATCCACTACTTAGTGCTGTTGGCATTTTTTTGTTACTGTTTTGTTTTTGTTTTGTTACTGAAAATTAAATAACTTTCATCTCAGTATCGCAACTAGGACATAAAATCTCAAACTTTTTCCAAGCACAGCAAAATGTATAGCGAATAAAAGTTCACGTGAAGCTAATATGTAGCGGACAGTACTGAGACGGTATGAGATTTTTTGTATTATTAGTATTAGAGAGGTGCTGAGAATAATGAATTTGAAAACCTTTCAAAATCAAAATAAATTGTTTCAATAAAATGAAGAGAAAGAAGCAGGAGGTTGGAAAAGTGTTGAGGAATTGAAGAAAAAAATAGATTTCAGAAAATAAAAATAATTCTTGCGATGTTTCTACACTGCATAATGATAAACTATTCCACTGATGAACTTCGATGAAAATCCTTATCGACCCTTCTCGAGTAGTAATACGTGAGATCATGAATTCCGTTATTAACAATTAAGTTATGGGAGTCTGAAGTCACGCAGCAAACTTCTGAAGAATTAATTCTGAAATTTGACGATTTTCAATTTAGGAAAGTTTACTCCGGCGAAGTATTTCTTTGAGAGTACAAGGAGAGATTTCGAATACGTGCTAGAAAATCAGTTTGAAAATTCATCGAGAAGTGAGTGGATTAGTTCGAATTTGATATTTGTTCTTCTCAGAACTGTTCTCATATCATCAGAAACAGACAAAGTTTATGAGATGATTCTGAATTTTCTCAATTCCCTAGCTACCTAAACTAAACGTTTAGTTTACTCTGTAGCGGTGTGCAATAATTGAGATTCCGCTACATATATCTTCATTTATTTCAGTTCCGTAAACATGTGATTCCATTTCCTGAAATGAATACGTCAGTGTAAAGATACTATTCGAGTGAACAGTTAGTAGAATAGTGAACTTACACAAATAAATTTGATTTAAAATGGTTTCTCCATTATCAATAAACTACATTCAAAAGAAAATTCATTGGTATGGGCTGCAAAAGAACTTACCTGACTTTCCTGTAATATCCATCGCTTTCAGATTATGGCCCTTAATGATGGTTATCGTCAGTCTTCCCGCTTTTGGAAGGTAACACAGGCAAATCATCAGTTCTCCTAAATCCACTTTATCCTGAAACAACGAAGAGGTCATACAACCAAATTCTCAAGAGGCCATCAGCTATGCAGTGTTTTCTGAATTTAATAATACAGTTCGGAAGTAATAGCCCCTCTCTCAACCTTCGAATGGGACAAGATATCAAAGTCTGACAAAATTTTTGCAAATAAAATAATTTTTTTTAAAAAAGAGCCAAAACTGTGATATCACAACCGAAAGAGCGCTATCAATATTTATTTAAAATGATAATGGTGAATCTTGTGACATTCCGCATGACAAGTATAACAGTTCTTTCCTTTGTCAGAATATTTGAAATGAATGTTCATTGGGAAGAGAAATGAATTGATAACCTTGTTGTTATTCATTTGAGAAGATGTTCAAGACCTTCTCCTTGAACCTTTAATAATTATGTCTTTTGTATTGTCCCAGATTGCGTGACACAAATATGATTTATCCCAATAAAAATTGGGAGGAGTCAAATCCAGGAGACTAGCAGGCCATTTCAAAGAATCGCGCCTATCAATCCATATGCCTGGGGATGTCTGATCCAACCACACGTAAAAAATATGCTTCTCGACTGCTTACTACGATTTTTTGAATCTTAGAGTGACTGAGGGTTCGAAACATTTCCAAATGTAAATCACAAGTCAGATTTTCCTCTAGATATTGCTATGTTTTCACATGGGTTTGACAATAATTGACTATACTGTATAATTGAACTCAGTTTAATTGCACTGCTACACAGACCAAACACTCTACTGAACTAGACTTTTTTGATATGCGTATTGCTAGTGTTTATATATGGCAATTGAAGTCTCTCTAAGCTGAAAAATATGTGAATTATATTGACCAATATTGCACATTCTGGCGGTTAAAATTTTCGTTTGATAAATTTCACTGAAAGCAGATACTTTTTTGCAGTTTCGATTTGCACTCAAACTTTCAGATATCAAATACAAAACTGTATTTTTTATTGAAAAGTTCCGTCTGCTATTGCGGCAGATATCATCACTGGCCGCAGTGATGACGAAATATGTTCCATTAGACCACGATCTACCAGCCAGAATTTTTTCTTCAATCATGACTCCGGCAAAGAAATTACATGTTCTTTTACTGTATTTTTGTCTCAGGGTCATCTTCATTCAATTCATGAAATAATTGCAATTGATAGGGGTGAAATTTGTGTCTACAAAAATATTTCTTGACGGTGATTGTTGAGACATCGTTCTGAAAAGCAACTCTTGTCGTGGATTGCAGGGGATTATTCACTACAGACGTTACGATTTTTGTCCGAGATAGATATTTTCCAGCTCCTAAAGGAGCTCTAGTTACAGTTCCAGAATTCAAAAAATTTTCAACCAATTTTCCGAGATATTTTCGGCAGATCGGATTTTCAAAAAATCTTGTCGAATAATCTTTCTGGCTCTTAAAATAACGGCTCGGCTTCGAGATACTCTTAAGAAAAAAAGGAGCTTTTTTGCTATCTTTCTGTGAATTTATTTGAAGTAAAAATCGAATATCAACTTGCTGTCGATCATAAATCCTAAATATTTGAATTCCTCCACTAGTTCGGTTTTGTTCTTGTCGAGAGGCAAAGCAAGTTCAGATACATTAATCCATTCATACTTGTGTAGCGTTGTTGGTATCATCAGTTGAGTTTGGTACCAGTTTATTTTTGTTGGGGTATTGAAAAAATCTGATGTAGAGATTCATTTATACAGAAAATAACCCTGTTCAGGTTCGAATCATAAATTGATAATAATGTGTACTCTGAATGAAGATTATGAAATCACAACCATGAGAAGGATGTATGTCATTTATATCTATTGAAAAAAGTAGGAGCCCAAGTACACTACCCTGCGGTTCACCATGATTTGAAACGTTCGAATGTGATCATCTTCAAACCAATTCTATACAGTCCTTCGTATACCTATAGTTTGTGATATGGATGAATCAAAAGTATCAAGTATGAAACAAAATAAAATTGTAACAATAAATTTACTGCAATCTATATAATTTTGCCATTTAGAAAGCTAGATCCGTGCAACATCAAATAATTATTAGTTTGAAAAAACTCATATATTATAATTGTTCGAAACCACCAGCTTCAAAACTTTTTTCAGCGAAGGGAGTGTATTTATTGGATGAGATTCTGATGCTTTCATAGTGTTGATAACTTTCTGTCTCGGCATAACCATGATCGTCAGCACTCGAGTTCATAGAATTAATTATATCCTCATAACTATTCATGAAGTAATTATTAACATAATCAGCTATTTCGTTTGGAGAGGTTACCAATTCAGTCTGACCCCACACCTCAATTTCAACACCACTACCGAAAATAACTTCAGCATCAAATGATGATTTCAAGGTCATTCACATTATTTTTACATTTTTTTTATGTTATTAAAATAGTACTACTGCACCTTCTTTTTTTATTCAAGCAAATGAACATACTGATGTCAGATGTCAAAGAAGTAAAGAAATAAGCTATCAGAAAAGGAATAACTGACAGATGTCAAAGAAGTAAAGAAATAAGCTATCAAAAAAGGAATAACTGCGTATATATTCGAATTTTTTATCCATATCTGAAGACGGAGGCAGATTTTGGCCTCCGAAACGTAAAAGATAAGTCTTATTTCTTAATAATTTTTTTTATAGGCAAAATTGTCAAATACGACAAGTTACTGATAAATAGAAGATTTTTCTTTGTGAAAAATACTTTGATTTTTACGCAGTAACTTATCGGGGTAAACTAAAAAAAATTTTTATATTTTTTCAGATTGTGGAAGGTAACAATTACCCAAAAAAAGGTCGATAAAAAAACTGATTTTTTCCTCCACAAAAAAATGACTTTCGTTGAATATATATTTCATATACAGAGAATTCAATGCAATCAATACAATTCACTATACAACAATAACCCTCCAGTGTGTCTAGACCTAAGGACACATCCCAAAACTTCATAATTAGGAAATTATTTTTCTGAATCACCGATTTCTTCAGTTCGGCGTTTTTCACTTAGTAATTGATAGAGGTTTGTACTGAACGTATGCAACTTCAAGTTCATTCTTGTTAGCTAGTGTACTGCAAATGTTTCCACATGTGATATCAACTTTTTCAAGCTCATCATAATCCGATGAACTCATTTGGGAACAACATTTCATACTGAGTATCATCACCATTCAATGTTGAAATGTTTTAAAAAAACACAGCATTTGCTTTCGTATCCCTCATTAGAGAAAATTGACAACAATGAAATGACATTTTCAAAAAGTGATCCTTACCAATTCCTTTACCATATTGAAGTTGTCCGCGGTCAGTCAATCTCTTTTGTCTGTCTGTTTGCAGAAGTTTATAATAGTCAAGTCAATAAAAATATTCTTGGCGTTGGAAACTCTGGGCTCCTATCAAGCAACGTCCAAACTGGAAGCAAATTTTCAAAAACGACTCTCCTCGATAGGAAGACTTAACATATTGTCTCTGGTCTGGATTCCTGGCCATACTGGCCTGGAAGGCAATGAGACTGATGACTTCCTAGCAAAGGAGGGTGCTGCAAGCAGCTTTATCGGACCAGAATCTGCCATTCGCATCGCTTCAGGCTTTGCCAAACGAAGATTGAACACCTGGACGGCAAGAAAGTTCATAAACTTCTGGCAGAATCTTCCTGGCATTCATTCACCCTCCGAAGCTTGATACCAAACAGTTGTTGGACTATAGTAGGGATGAATTACGATGTCTAACAGACCTTCTTACTGTTATTTGAATTCCTGTTTGGAAATAGCAGACCACTCACCATTCAAAGTAATCGGCTTCGTTAGGAATTTGGGTTTATTTGGACTTTGGACCTAATCTAACCTAACCTAGTAGGAGATACGGCGGTATAGACGACCCCCATTTCTTCAATTTCGTCATCAGCCCGTTGACCAATCAGACGTCACCGCGAGTAGCAGCGAAAAATTTAAATTGTTCTCACTTCAACGAGAGTATCCACGAGAGTGTCCCCTTGTCAGCGCAGCAGTCACGTGGTCCCAGTGGCCACTGGCGGCTGTATGAGCCTTGAACATAGGTCGTTGGTGTAGTAGACTTCGTCCTCAGCTTCGACACCAACGTGAGATCTTGGAAGTAGTTGTGAACCAATGATAGAGATGAAGTATATGATATACTTGATGATGATGATATGTTTTATATAGCATAGAGTCGGCGATGGGGTGAGTATGGCAGTATGCCCGGGGACATAGCTTGCGATTTCTGAGCGGTTTTTTCCAGCGCGGTTTTCGAGTGGTTTTTTATTTCTATGCCAACACCTACATTTGAATGGAACATGATAGTGTTTGCGATTTTAACAGCGGCGATTTTTTACAGCCGACTGGTCGTTGGATTCCGAGCGACAATCGGAGGACAAGAGCAACCAAGTAGAGGAAGAACCCAGGTGAACGAATAGAACAGTGTTGACTATTTTGCAGTGGTTTTTCAGTTGCGATTCAAGCATGAAAGTGAAAACTACAATTCGTAGCGTGGAAAATCACCTTTGTTTGTGGGACAAACGCGATTACGTACTACAAATATATATTTAGATTTTATGTATTTTCAAGTTTCATATCAGATATGTGTTGATCATGGCTCCCACTAGAAGAAATATGTGATCAATAAAATATTTTTTGAACTTGAACTGACCTCAATGTAACAGTAAGTCTCTCTTCAACGCTGATAGGTACTCTCCTGGTGCAATATTTTCGTGGCAAAGGTCAAACAATCGCCACAAGAACATTCGGTAATATTCCGCATATTCTCTGATTCTTTCTTATTAAACAAAACACCTTTCTTCCTAGTTCCCCTCTCGGTGGTACAGGTGTACGTCGACCTCCTTGACCTCCTTGAGTGGCATCTTACTGCAGCGCCTTCTGCTTCCAAAGCGCACAGGGATATGTAGTAACTGCCATTGCGATAGTACCATAAAATACTATTTCATTCATTGAGATCGAGGTCGATCACCCGTTTCTTCCGTGTCGATA